AGGCTGGGGGTCGGTTTTCTTCGCTCTCAGCTCCACCCGCTGAGTCAGTGAGCGATGGGGATATTTCCAGGAAGACTGCAAACCCACGGTGTCCGTCTTGGTGTCGGGTGGCCTGTGGCAGATTGTTTGCCTCTGTCCTCTCCGAGGGCCGGGGACCCACAGGCGCCTTGGCTGAGAGGCAGTGGCTCAGCAAAGATCCGGTGGGTAGCTGGGGTCTGGGTCAGGCCACCCAGCTGATTCAGGTGCCACGCATCACAACCCTGCCCTTTCCCCTTTGGGCAACAGCCCTGGTTTTGCATGACCCTTCACTCTATCAGCAGGGGGAGAAATTTGAAAGACTTTGGCCCAGATGGCAGAGGGTAGGTAGGGAGGTATCTTGTCACCTGACATACACTTGATTTTTTTTTAAAAGATTTATTTTATTTATTTGACAGAGTTAGAGAGAGAGAGAGAGATAGAGAGAGAGAGAGAGAGACAGAGAGAGGTCTTCCATCTGCTGGTTCACTTCCCAAATAGCTGCAATGACCAGAGTTGAGCCAATCAGAAGCCAGGAGCTTCTTCTGGGTCTCCCACGCACTGGGACTCGAACCGGCACCTATAAGGGATGTGGGTGCTGCAGGCTGGGGCTTTAACCCTCTGCGCCACAGCGCCGGCCCCCACACTTGATTTTAAAAATCGGCTATGGCTTTAGTCAGTTGTTGAATACAGGGACTTATGAACATTGATTCATTTAGTGCTCACAACAGTCCTGTGAGGTCAGGACTCTATTTTTAATATTTATTTTATTTTATTTGAAAGGCAGAGTCACAGAGAGAGTGAGAGAGACAGAGATGGAGCCTCCATCCACAGGTTCAGTCTCTAAATGGCCGTGATGATTGGGACTGGGCCAGGCTGAAGCAGGAGCCAGGATCTTCTTCCGGGTCTCCTATGCGGGTGCAGGGGCCCAAGCACTTGGGCCATCTTTGGCTTTCATTATCTGGGAGTTGGATTGGAAATAGAGTAGTCACGACTTGAACGGCACTCATACGGGGTGGGGCTCCTGATCTGATCTGTCCCCTTTGCAAACAAGGAAACCGAGGTAGAGGAACGTGTGTGTGTGTGTGTGTGTGTGTGTCCATGGTCACATGACCAGTGAGTTTCAGAGCTGCTGCTTCAGTTTTACAATCTGTCTGTTTAACCACTAAACCAAACGACCCCTCTGGGGTTTGTACCAGTGTCTTGATCCTAGCAGGGACTGGACTATCCTGAAGATCTCTGAGCTCTTTCCCCATGTCCAGAGATAAGGCCAGAACCAATGTCACTTGTGTGGGAAGTGGCAGTCTTCATGCCACCTTTGTTCTCGCTTTCTTTTTAAAGTTATTTAATTTGAAAGGCGGGGGTGAGGGGGATCTCCAGGTCCCTTTTGCGATTCACTCCCCAAATGCCTAAGACAGCTGGGAGTGGGCATGGCAGAAGCCAGGTCCACTTTTGGGGCATTTAAGGTCTCTCCACAGGCAGAGTCCTAGCTCTCCTTCCCTGAAGAAGATGAACACTTCCCAGCTAAGGTTAATTCAGTTCTGTAAGGGCTGTTTGCTGCTGGTCCTCTGTCCAGAGGTGTGGCATCCACCGGCCCACCCCTGCTCCCCACGTTCCCGCTGTAGCCTTGCTGGCAGGGGCAGGGAATGTTGGAAGGATAAGGTCTCCTTCCCCAAGAGCGGGGGTGGGGGGTAAAGACCATTCCAGAACCTGCAGACCTTGGCAGGATTCTTGACTCTCCTTCCTGCCCTGTAACCCCATCCCGAGAGGCCGGCAATGTGCTCTCTCATCTTCATGGACATTCTCCATGGCTGTCCCCTGGTTCTACAAGTGTCTGTCGACTGAAAGACCTGCCGCCAGGGACCAGCCAAAGTGTGCCTGGGGACAGACCGAAAAACAAAAACAAAAACAAACACACCCGCTGGAAAAGTTCCAGCAATTTTCTTACAGTCGTCCCCCGGTACCTGTAGGGGACTGGTTCCAGGACCCCATCCCCCCACAACCCCGCACTGCAGCTATCGAAAACATGTAGCTACTCAGGTCCCCTATGTAAAATGGGGTAGTATTTCCACGTCACCTACGCAGTCCTCTCATGTACTTTAAGTCATCTCTAGGTTACTTACAATACCTAACCAAGTACAAATGCCATGTGAACAGTTGCTGTAGTCTGCTGTTCAGGGAATAGTGACAAGAAAAACAAGTCCAAACATGTGTATGCAGACCAACCCTGGCAGATCTAACTGCACAGCCCACCGACGAGATCAAGGTGCACGTGCTCAGATAATGAGATGCAGACAGCGGACCTGGGAGGCTGCCGCGGTGCCTGCCCGCGCCTCCCTTCATTCCTGCGGACTCTTGAATCGCGCTCAGCACGCAAGTCCAAACGTTGCTTTCTGGAACCTTCTTCTTTTTTTTTTTTTTACAGGCAGAGTGGACAGTGAGAGAGAGAGACAGAGAGAAAGGTCTTCCTTTTGCCGTTGGTTCACCCTCCAATGGCCGCCGCGGCCGGCGCGCTGCGGCCTGCGCACTGCGCTGATCCGATGGCAGGAGCCAGGAGCCAGGTGCTTTTCCTGGTCTCCCATGGGGTGCAGGGCCCAAGCACCTGGGCCATCCTCCACTGCATTCCCTGGCCACAGCAGAGGGCTGGCCTGGAAGAGGGGCAACCGGGACAGAATCCGGCGCCCCGACCGGGACTAGAACCCGGTGTGCCGGCGCCGCTAGGCAGAGGATTAGCCTAGTGAGCCGCGGCGCCGGCTTGGAATCTTCTAAATGAAAAGATTTGAACCTGCAGTCACGTGTCTCCAGAGATGCGGAACTCAAGGTAGAGCGTTTGATCGTAATGACTTTAAAATTATTGTTTTACATGGCAGAATACTGAGGAACTGGAACAAACCGGTCCTTTTATTCAGCGCTTTCATGACCTTGAAATAAAGGAAAGGTGGAAGGAGAAGCACACGTTTAGCCAGAAGTACTCTTCAGGGTCACTGTTCCTGTCCAGTTCGTGTCTATGTTTTTCACACATGACCTTGAGACCTGGAGTGCAGTCACTCCCATCACTCCACGGGACAGATGTTCCAGGTAGCTCAGAGAACACTGCTGGTTGCGCCAAAGCCTGTAGATGACTCAGAGGCAGCAACGATTTACATGTTTGTGTGTACTGAGTGGCCGCTGCTAGAGGCGGCAAGAATGTGGGGAGAGCTCAGGGCTCTGGAACATCCTAAGCCTGTCTGGCTGCGATTTAAAAAAAAATCTCAATACAACCTGGACCAGAGAACAGGCCCTTAATCTCCCATGGCACGACTGGTTAGCCCTGGCCTTCTGCCATAAAACGAAATGCCCCCCCCCCCCCCCGAAAGGGGCAGAGATCCATCTTAGTAACGCCATGTGGCACTCCTATACAACGCAGGGGATCAGAAATCAGCCTGTACCTCAAGAATAGCGCAGCTTCCAGGATGCTCTGCATCGGGAAGCAGGCAGAGCAAGACGGAAACCAGCGTTTCCTGAACGCCTACGGAGCTCCGGTTAGATCCACACAAGGGAGCTCACTCCCTCGGGCCACAAGGTGGGTACCGCTCAGGGTGCCGCACTGCAGCAGGCAGGCGTCAGAACCGGACTCCCCGGCGGCCACCGGCGCGCCGCACCACACGCGGGTCGGCCTGCGGGAAACCAGTGACCCACGGCCACCCCGGAGCCCTGCGCCACGACCGGCGGCCCAGCCGCCGGTTCTCGTGACTCCTCAGTCTTTTCCGCTTCCACCCGAGTGAAAGGGAGCGAGCGGCCACGTGAGCGCCGCCCCGCCGCTCCCCAGCGCCTGCCTGGCCAAGGACAGGCACAGGTGCGGCGAGCCAGCGCTGGATCCAGAGCCCTAGGGCACACGCCCCCCTCAGCGGCTCCCCGCAGCGTCTCCCCGCGGCCGGGAGCTCAGCCAGGTCTGGGCCCTGGGCGCGGCGGCTGCTAGGTGCGCAGAAAAGCGGGCCCTGAGGCGCGCCCAGCA